AGTGGAAAACCAACCGGTCCGACCCGTACCTACACCGACCGTTCCGACACTACACTAAGTGGCACTAGTGGAAAAGGGGCATTTAATTTCCCTCTGGGATCAATAGTTTCATTCATTCAAATAGATCTTGCATGGCAACTACTAAAGTATTGCATTAATTTGTTGGGTCTCATTTTTTTCTTTTTTTTCCTCCAGATGATCTCCTGTCTTCTGGCCAGGCTGAAACGTTCGACTTCGCCTTCATAGATGCAGACAAAGTCAACTACGACATGTATTACGAGAAGTCTCTGCAGTTGCTGAGAAAAGGCGGCATCATTGCGATCGACAACGTAAGAGCGTCAAACTGACACCAACATTGTAGGKTTTTTTTTTCCTTTTCAGTGGCAGACTGAATTTGTGAACTTCTGRTCGCTGCAGGTGCTGTGGGGTGGGAGCGTGCTGAACCCGTCTCCTAATGACGCTAGCACTGTGGCCATTGACAAGCTGAACAAGAAGCTGCACAGAGACGTTCGAATCACTTTGAGCATGCTAACTGTGGGCGATGGGCTCACACTGGCAATTAAAATTTAAACTTGAAAGTGCAATTCATTATACGTTAAAAAGGACAACACTAGAAGTTCAGTATGTTTGCAGATATTTGATGCTTGTCAGTAGACATACACCACATGCAATTGTATCACTAAAATACTAATTTTGCGTGAATCTACTTTAGTTGGCCTGTATATCTGAACATTCCATGTTGCCTGATATGTACTGGATTAAAAACGACATGAGATAATAAAGGTGGATTTCAGGACTTTATTGTAATTGGTAACACACACTCCTCATCTAGTTTTGCAAACCTCAAACGAGGTGGAATGAGGGGAAGAAAATGCCTTTAGCTTCACCCTGTTGCTAAAAGGCGTTACAACTCATACAGCACAATAAAGTGTCTAGGAAATGTGTGGAGCAGCAAAGACAAACTTCAGTTTTAATAAAATATAAGTAATTAAGCTCTTAAAGGTATATTCTAACTGTGCAAAGATAAAAGCCCAGGCTTACATTCTACATTACACTTGAGCAAAATAAGTTTCTCAAAAAAAATAATAATAATAATTGTGGATTCTTGAACTAAAACAAGCTGGACTTTCAACATGAAGGATGTTTCACTGTAAAGGATAACTTAAAGAGGAAAAAAATGACCGAAACATGAAATATAACCACATGAACAGGAGTTTGGTGAAAATGTTTCTCAGTGTCTACGAACTGGGATTCTACTTAGTTTTGGCCTCGTCTTTAAAATCTCTTTCTAACATTTGAGAATGCTGCAGACCAGGGCCCGTATTTATCAAACTCCTTAGAGTGGAATTTTAGACTTAAATGCTGTACATTTCTTGGATTTCCTCCCACTCAGTCTTAAGTGTAAAAGCAAGTTATCAAAATTCTTAAGTCGAAGAATCACTCTTATTCCCCTGAAAAGTTACGACTGCTCCAGAGCGGTGTTTCCTAACCTTGGTCCTCAAGGCACACTGCCCTGCATGTTTGAGAAGTTTCCCTGCTTTGACACAMCYGATTCAGATGACTGCAGTTCAACAAAAACCTGTTGGTTATCAATTGAAATCAGCTGTGTTGAAGCAGGGAAACATCTAAAACATGCAGGGCGGTGTGCCTTGAGGACMAGGGTTGGGAAACACTGCTCCAGAGGACTCATGAGTGGTTAAGAGCTGCAACTAGAGGTCTGAGACGGACTGAGAAGACAGAAACTGCACTAAGTGGTCCAGGGGTCTTCCACCTGAGTGTGATTTTCAGTTACAGTACAGAGGAACTACAGTTTAGAGGTGGAAAACGGGTTTAGTCATTATTGCAAAAGAAAGGAGGAGAGAAAAAAAACATTACCAATGACATAATGTTGGAATAAAGTGTGGATATTTCTGTGCGGCTTTTGGAGAGAATATGCAGTCAAAAGTATTTTCTTTTACMCCACTGGTGAAGGTGAGATTGAACTTATGTTTTCTTTCTTTAACTCAAACTTCACGAAATCTRCTAATTTCATAAAAGAAGATTTTTTAAATCTGTAACGTGTGCGTGGGGTCTCGGATCAAGTAGATATTGACGGAGAGGTGTGTGTGTGTACTTGTTTCTACTACAGAGTGAGGACCATTTGCACCATAGTTACTATCAAAGTGAGGTCTTTGATGTAAAGTGAGGACCTCTTCAATGTCCTCACTTTGTTTGCAGCTCTGCTGTTCTTTACTAGTTACATTTAGAGGTATGGTGTGAATTAAGTTTTGGTTCAGTTTAGAGTTAGCTTCAGACCAGTAATGGTTAGTTTTARGGAAAATGTCTGGATTAGGCATGAATACAATTAGAAAAATGAATGAAGGTCAATACAATGTCCTCAGTTTGATGCAAATACAAGGATATGTGTGTGTAAAGTGGGTGTTGTCTGCAGGTAGTTTAGGGAAGAGGGAGAGCAGGAGGATGAAGGTGTAAACTCAACATTACCTCAGGCTATGAGACGTAAAAAAAATCATTAAGCTGCAGTTTTGTTAAATAATCTGCAAGATTTTATCTATTCATGATATAAATGAGGAAATTTTATGTATGACAATCAGTAACCTACATGATCTGTATGAACTATGGCACAACTATTGTGTCGAAAGTGAACTTATCTTAGGATTTTCAGTTTTATCTTTGCTTCTCTGAATATCCTTGAACATAAAATCCGATGCAGTGATTGGTTCATGCAGGGTTTTTTTAACATCATCCAGGATCAGCTTTGCAGAACAGCAAAGTGTTGTAAATCAGCTCTAAGACTGACACTTCTGATTTACTTTTACACCACTTAAATTGAGACTGAGATGCTTGATAACTGACTTTTAGTCTCAGCTTTTATTTAGCTAAGAATTTTTTTACACTTAAGTCCATTCTTAACAGCATTCTTAAGAGAAATTCTAAGAAGTWTGATAAATACAGGCCCAGGTCCTGCTGATATTCTATTAAAAAAAGAAGTGTAGGTGACTCTCACGCCTCCAACTCCAGGCCTAGACCGAGCTTGTGACCACCAGCGTTGATATTCTTCCCATCTACTAAAGCTGACAGGCTGAGTTTCATACCTGCAAAGTTTTCATTTGAACAAGTTGTGATTCTTCTAAAAAAAAGGTGTTTATAAATGTTTTGTCATTTTTTGGAAAACTGTCCTTACCAGGCCGCAGAGTCTGGGTGTATCCGATTCCTACCAAGCTGGAATTATTTACCTTCATCTGGGAAAAAAAAATTAAAATGTCCATATTGTTCAAAAGGAAGAAAAAAGCTAAACATTTTCTACTAAACRACCATGTAATTACTCACAGATATGGAGGCATTGGGGTCTAACAGGTATTTAGCAGCGATTCCAAAGCGAGTGCCGTTGCTGCCTGCGGTCCAGGCGACATTCACAGCAGTCTCCAGATTATCATTTACCTTCTGATAAATGGATCCACCAAACTCTGAACCATCATTTCTATGTGGGACAAAAAAAAACAATCATTTTCAGAAGTGGTTTCTGTATTCTTAACCTGGTTAATTTTGTATTCTTGCTCATTTTAAGACATACACGTTGGTATGGAGCTGGAAGTCTCCAGTCTGGTAACCAACAGCGAAGTTGCTATGGGTCATCCTGGATTTGGCCGAGTCGATGGTCATCTGGTAGCCTGCCAGCCACCCCTCATATCCAGCCACCCCTGCTCCGTGGATTGTTGGACCTGCAAAATCTAAATCTACGTCAAGACCCACGTTCAGGTGCTCCCTCTTATACGAAGTCTTGACTTTGCCACTCTTCTTGCTGTGAAATTAAAGAGAAACGACTAATTAGGAATGCAAACCAGATTATACCTTAGATGGCCTTAAAACCCAGCRTACCCAGTGTTGGGTGAAAATGTCGTCTCAAAATTAAGTTTCAGTCCTTTGGTRATCTAGAAGAAGAAAATCAAAGTTTAGATCAGGTAGCTTAGTAAAATGAGCAACTATACACTGACCGGCCACTTTATTAGATACACCATGCCAGTACTGGGCTGGACCCCCTTTTGCCTTCAGAACTACCTGAATCCTTCGTGGTATAGATTCAATAAGGTACTGGAAACATTCCTCAGAGAGTCTGGTCCATGTTGACATGATGGCATCACACAGTTCTGCAGATTTGTCGGCTGCACATCCATGATGYGAMTCTCCYGTTCCACCACATCCCAAAGRTGCTCTATTGGATTGAGATCTGGTGACTGTGGAGGCCATTTGAGTACAGTGAACTCATTGTCATGTTCAAGAAACCAGTCTGAGATGATTCCAGCTTTATGACATGGCGCATTATCCTGCTGAAAGTAGCCATCAGATGTTGGGTACATTGTGGTCATAAAGGGATGGACATGGTCAGCAACAATACTCAGGTAGGCTGTGGCGTTGACACCATGCTCAGTTGGTACTAATGGGCCCAAAGTGTGTCAGGAAAATATCCCCCACACCATTGCACCACCACCACCAGCCTGAACCATTGATACAAGGCAGGATGGATCCAGGCTTTCAGGTTGTTGATGCCAAATTCTGACCCTAACAGAATGTTGCAGCAGAAATTGAGACTCATCAGACCAGGCAACGTTTTTTCAATCTTCTATTGTCCAATGTAGGTGAGTCTGTGTGAACTGTAGCCTCAGTTTCCTGTTCCTAGCTGACAGGAGTGGCACCTGGTGTGAACTTCTGCTGCTGTAGCCCATCTGCCTCAAGGTTTGATGTGTTGTGAGTTCAGAGATGCTCTTCTGGAAACCTCRGTTGTAACAAGTGGTTACTTGAGTWACYGTTGCCCTTCTTTCGGCTCCAACCAGTCTGGCTATTGTYCTCTGACATCAAYACRGCATTTGCTCACACAGAACTGCCRCTCACTGGATATTTTCTYTTTTTCGGACCATTCTCTGTAAACCCTAGAGATGGTTGTGGGTGAAAATCCCAGTAGATCAGCAGTTTGTGAAACACTCAGACCAACCTGTCTRACACCAAMAACCATKCCACATTCAAAGTCACTWAAATCACTTTTCTTCATCATTCTGATGCTCAGTTTGAACTGCAGCAGATTATCTTGGTCATGTCTACATGTYTAMATGCATTGAGTTGCTGCTTTGTGATTGGTTTATTCAACATCTGCATTAATGAGCAGTTGGACAGGTGTACCTAATAAAGTGGCCGGTGAGTGTAGATGAAAAAGTTTTAACTTACCTTATCCTCAACACAAACTTCAGTCCCGAGGGTGTTTTCTGTGGTCCACTTCTCTGTGAATGTCAGCCCATATTCAGCCCATTTGTACTTGGTTTCCAGGGTACCAACGACCTTGCTGGTGTCTACATTTGATGAGCCAGATGTTTTAAATTCCTAAAGGGAACATAAGAAGATATTAATCCTACCTGGAGAAAATACAGCATGAAAAAMTGTCATTATCTTTGAAAGATGCAATAAAAACTGGGTGAAACAAAGATCTGAGGCAAATACTGATAATATTTCAGAAAATAATGTTGACATATCCACAGGCGTATCATGAGCTMGCAGTGCTGATAAGGACTGCCTTTGCCGAGTTATTAAAGAATGACACTACAGCTGAAYAACAGACACGTATTTATCTCACCACTCCAGTTGAAGACTTGGTCTTAACATCAAGCTTTATCATCCCAAACCCTGCAAGGACAACAACAGTAAGCAACACTTTCTATTCTGAGGAATCTATTTCAACAAGCAGAAATGTCCATTACAGATCAGAAAAYGGACACTAATTCAAAAAAGCTAATTGTCTCGCTTCCATTTACCATATCCTTTATTGAAGATGTCCTTCGCAGATTTTCCCAGATCTGCATATGCTGGAGGAACTGCCATTTTATCTGAAAGATAAAGAGAATTTGTAGGTTTTATAAAACCTTAAAACCAACTAACTTGAAGATTTAAAGTGGGTTTATCTCTTTTGGTGTGTCATTTTGGTAAAGTCGTTAAACATTTTCCAGCTTTTCGAGATGAAGACAAAACTATACTTTTATTCTTTATTTACAATGTAAACTGGTTTAACAAGAGCAAAACATTTTTCCCTAGACTCCAACTACAAAAAACATAATATTACAAAGAAACAATTTACCATTTTGTAGAAAGTTAGGGTTAGAATATGTTTGCATTTGGGTGAGTGATTAAATATCAAAACTATGGATTGATTTTGATTGAGTTTATTTTTTATTTGTATTTTATGGAGATAACACGTTACAAAAATTGCAGTCCAGTGTTAGATGAGACCAACTATTGAACTATTGCTCTGTGTGCTTTTTTTGCTTGGGCCTTAATGCGGTCAATGACGTGACACCTAAAGACTGTCATGGTTAAATAGACTGCAGCACTTTACAAACTGCTTTCAGGAACAYTCAGGCTTTAAATTCAGTGTGCGACGGCTCCATTTTTACAAGTGGCGAGGCGATTTCAAGGTAAACGGCAGCTTATTGACTTAATACATCCAGGATGACACGTTTAGACAAAATTTACATATTATTTTAATTTGTACATTTGCATCAATTTCTCACGTAAAACAAGCGAACATTAGCCTCTATGCTAACRAGTTTAAACTCAGAAGATGTGGTGATAGGGCGCGTTTTCCACCAGCCAAATAAGATGTCAGCTTACCACAAAACTAAAAAAGAAGCACTTCACGAACAAAGTATCGGAATACTTACCAAAAACTGTAATCGTTCAATTTATTGAACCTCGGTGGATTAAAAGTAGGTCTGAACCTTTCAGGAAAACCGGCGTAGGACAATATGAAGGAGACACGCAATAAACCCCACTTCTGACCTCGACGCCGCAGGACCCTGAGAAATAGGTGTTTCATTTGGTGCCTGACTGAAAATTAAACTAGAAGTAAAGAACTTAAATCTCCACTGACTGATTAAAGCCATAATTATATGATATCCCGTTATGTGATGTACCTTTTTCTAATTCATAAATGAGAACAATTATAACATTATTGCACGTCCTGTATACCGGCATAAAAGACCTCTAAATCACCCTGGCAATCAATGGGCAAATGACGTAAAACACGTGCTGATGTAAAATTTCCAAGATTTCGCTTCAAGAAAAATAATAAAAATATATAAATAAATAATTGTAAATTTTTACCATATTTTAATATATAGTACAAAGATGTACTATTTAAAACATGAACATTTACTTCCACATACTGTAATATTTCTACTTCTTCCAACAAWAACCTTTACATTCAAGTAATTACTAGTAGTTTTTATATGCAAATGTAACAAAACTTGATTTTCAGCTCTTTAATGATAGAAATGCCAGAACAGAAACAAGAAACGTGGCATCAAACATTACCCTTTTTCAAAGGCCTTATTGRAGTGTTAAATCCATTAAAAAAAACTCTTCTAACACATTGCAACGATCAAACTATGATCACTTTTTAAAGTGGCAACTTTCATTCAATGAAATATAGCCTTCTTTGAAATCAATATTACATTTAAATAGCACATTGTCAGTCAATACACAGTATAAAGCAACTGTAAACATAACTTGCTGTGTGCATGTTGCTCTAACTCTGTATAGGGGAATATAAAAATATCTATTGACRTTTATAAAATAAATACAAACACTTTTGTTAAGGATCTGTTTAGTACAGACTAAATTCAAAGGATTCGTGATGGGGAAAAGGTCTTGGTCTTAGAGCCCACTAGGTTCCAGTGCATTGTTCTCTTTCAGCTGAAATCATACATATATTCAACTGAAAACATGAAAAAAGTAAAACATTTCTACAAAGCTGAATCTYATCGCTGAAATACTGAAGGTAATTGGCATTAAGACATACAGAAAAAAGTAATTTCAAATATTTGGCTGATAATGGCTTTTTTTTTTCTTTTTTTTTTAGAAAACATAAAACCAGAAATCAAGAAATGTTGCCATTATTAATCTACAACAATAAGCTTTAAATGAGCAAAAACATTTCTTATCAGATTTTGTAACATCACAACGCAAACATGACCTCAAGGAGTGCAAAAGGCAGTAATAACATGACTTATAAAWATCACAAAAACTATGATTTACAGATCAGAGTAATGTAAATCCATCCTTACTGTTTAACAAAGAGCCACAGTTATGGTTTGATATTAAATAACCTTGGAGGTACAACCAAACTTTACATGAACTTAAATTAAACCAACATATTAGCTAGTTTACTTCTACCAACTCTTTTGGGTTTAATTTACCAAAATAAGATAAAAGGGGCATTTATAGAAMCTTGTAGGTTTTGACGAATTGGCCTAAAAAACGATGAGAGAAGAGGCGTGTTAGAGAAAAGACCAACAGTATGGCTCTGTCTATCCTATCAGGTGTCTGTGGTTCAGGATGTCACAYACCTCTTCAATTGGCAACTTGACAAAGCAAACTTTGAAAAAAAAAWGCAGCTATTARTTATCCAATGAGCCTTTTTATCACAGCAGGTCTAGAGAAGGGCCAGCGGTACTCGTTGGGGACGGGCCCGTTGACGTTGCACTCGAAGAAAGAGAACATGGGGAACCAGATGCGGGCTCGCCGGCTCTGCTGGTACGCGCGAGTGTTGGCTAGAGTGTGGTAGTACAGGAAGAGTCTGGTAGTGATGTAGAAGGCTATGAAGACGTCGATGGAGTAGTGTTCATGAGCAGCCAGGATGAAGAAGATTCCAAACAGATTGAGGACCCAAGACAAGGTGTGGATGAAGTTCCAGCTTCGTGGAGTGTCTGTGAGGAAGACGAGCAAAACACACAAAAAAATGATGGAATATATTCAGCAAGCGGCTGAGTCAGACTCCGTCTCTGTCAAGTTCAAACTAAAATGACTATTTTACAACTATAGGTAGCAGTTTTGAATTAAGCTACAATTAATCTCCTTCAGGTTATACTAAAATATTTATATTTTTCTATTTGCGTTACTGATTGCTTAAAGGGGCAATATTATGTGTTTCTCAGGCATAAATTTAAATTCTATACCATAATAAAGTATCTATGTCACTTTCAGTTGTTWTTAAAATGCTGTTTATATGTTTAAATAGACAATAAACTTGACTTCTCATCATTTCTGTTTCTAAACGCCTTAAAATTGGCCTCTGTTTCTTTAAGAACCTCCTCCCACTTCTGTCCCGCCCATTTCAGCACGGGGCCAGGTGTGTGTGTGTGTGTGTGTGTGTGTGTGTGTGCTCTGTGATGAGGAAGTTCAGGTTGGAGACACAGCCCAGAGGAGGAGCTGATCCCAAAAGGTGGTTCTAGTCCCATCCGGTCCTTTTTGCTCCCCTGCCTGCTGCCTCAAGACACTACAGGATTTCTCAAACATGCATGAATGAGTCAAAGCAAGAGTCTGGGCTTGTTTTTGATGAGAGGATAACATTATAAAATGATTTAAAACTCAAAAAAGTTGATTATACATGATATTGCCCCTTTAAGCTAAAGTAAAAGAGAACATTTCAATCACTGATTTGACACAAAAGACTAATCTTACAAGAACAGGTCACTGTGTGTTGTAAATATGTCTGTCTGTTAGTAAATTAGTTTCTCACCTAATAGTTTTGTACACTGAACTAAATAACTCACACTCTGTGACGAAGAAATTAAGCATGGTCAGGACAACAGTGTGGCCGCTGAACATGTAGTCGCCACACGTATGAACTCCTGTCAGGGTCATTCCAAAACCACTCCAGATGGCCACGGCCCGCTGCAGCTTGGCCCACATGTCACCATACATCTACATGAACAGAAAAGTAGAACCTGTTGAACAACGTCAACTTCAAACAAGGGTTATTTGTTTTATTTTATATATTTTTAAAGGGTCTGATTACCTTCCCTGAGCACTGCAGATGTTGTCCCGGCACCGACAGGGAGGTGACAAACATGGTGATGCAGCGAAGCATGAAAACCGTCCCCATCAGGCTGCACATGCGCCGCAAAAGAATGGACCTGCATGTCGGAAGAACCAGTAAGTCGGATCGAGCACGGATTTCAGAAACACACTGTTAGCAGTTATAATAGGGTTGGGCAATATCAGCAAAAATTAATCTCGATTAACTGTGGCATTTTGTCTATAGTGATTAATGTGACAATTAACAGACATTTGCGCTTGCATGTTTTTGACTRTAAATCAGTTACCCCGTGTTCTAAAATGAAACTTACGAATCACCAAACTAACTCCCTTTTAACAGGTTCAATCAGAAAGCTGCGAACCGAAACCCACCTTTTCCACAATGTGAAGTGGTCGCATACTGTTAGTAATGCAATATGCCACTGGCTCACACGCGCACAAACAAAAAATATATCACGTGGCACTAATTGCAGTAATTGCCAAGTGGCAAATATTAATTGTTGGCAGCTTTTCTGACATTTAATTATAGGATTTTGCCCAACCCTATCCAACAATAAAAAACTGAACTTTACCTGTGTTTATGTAGCAGCAAAACCAGAAGCCAGATGTTACAGAGAATCACTCCACACGCCTCAGCCATGGCAAAGGCCCACGGTATCCTAGGCATGCTGGGAGAAAAAATAAATAAATCTAATCAAACAGGAGAATCGATTAACCTCTTGAGCCCGATGCCAGCATTTCCCGTTTTCTATATATTTTGCTTGTGTCAACTTAAAATCTGTAAGTTGAACCTTGACATGTTTGGTATCAATAGAAAGCTAAGAATCTTGGCTAAAAGCTTGTGGACACTATGTTTACACCCACCAAACACAGTTCAAACGACAGGAAGTTGAATCAGAAAGTAAACATACTGTCCAAAATGGAATTGTCGTAAATCTGTTAATATATTTACAACAAATCTGTAAAGGGGGAAAAAAATAGACATTTGTTTTTAAAGTAAGCCAAAGCAGATACCAAAATAGGTTGTAAAGTGTGTTGAAAGTTTTTTTTTTTCATTTGATTTTGAGTGAATATGGTCCAACTGAAGTTAAATATAATTTCTCGTTATTTTATATGATATATATGG